TTATAAGCATTTAAAGATAAAATGTCTAAAGCGGAAAATGGTCGTGGAATTTTCACAAAAATTGCATAGCATATGAAAGTCGAATTAAAAGTCTAGCCTACAGTGAAGAAATTTTGGAAAAAGCTTCACCGGTTTGGAAGTTATTACACATTAAAGATACTGTTAAGTTTCGGGAGCGTTTTAAAACCTAAAATTTAAGTATTTTGGAGGAGGTGAACCTGTAGGATGAAATTTTTGCATGTATACAAAACTAGATTTCCAAACCTATTCTATGAAGAAGAAATAGCTTAAAACGCTTCAATAGTTTCTGAGTTAAAGCGCTTGAAACTTCTTTATGATGAAGCAGAAAAAAAGCTTGCTTTTGTTAAATCTTAAAATCACAGTTTTGGCCATAGCATGCCCAAAATTGGAGTTATCACCTTCAAATTTGGTACATTTATAGAAAGAGATATTGCCTACATGATGTTACCATTAGCTTTTGAAAACGCTTCTTTGTTATATAAGTATAAGCGTTTTAAAGTAAAACGCCCACATTTTTCATAATGGGCATAATGATAAAGCTTTTTCAAAAGCTAATAATAACAACAACTTGTAGGCAATATCTTCTTCTATGAACATACAAAATTTGAAGTTGATAGCTTCAATGTTGGGCAAGCTATGGTCAAAAGTATGATTTTAAGATTCAAAAAAAGCAAACATTTTTTCCGCTTCATCATAAAGAAGTTTCAAGCGCTTTAACTCAGAAACTATTGAAGCGTTTCAAACTATTTCTTCTTCATAGGATAGGCTTGAAAATCTAGTTTTGTATACATGCAAAAATTTTATCCTACAGGTTCACCTCCTCCAAAATACTTAAATTTTAGGTTTTAAAACGCTCCCGAAACTTAACAGTATCTTTAAAGTGTAATAACTTCCAAACCGGCGAAGCTTTTTCCAAAATTTCTTCACTGTAGGCTAGACTTTTAATTCGACTTTCATATGCTATGCAATTTTTGTGAAAATTCCACGCCCATTTTCCGCTTTATACATTTTATCTTTAAATGCTTATAATACTTGAGATTGAGGAGCGTTGTCAAAAGTTTTGGTAAGATCGGATTCCTCATATCTTTCTCTACATCCATGTTAAATTTCATCCATGTGGCTTGATATCTGTAGCAGTTATAAGCAATTTTCTGAATTTTTGATTATTCCACAAAAAGTGATTTTTCAAAAGCTCAATTTTTTTTGTGAACTACTAGGAAAACATAATCGAACAGTAGGTGGATTTCACGTCGAACTTTTCTTTAAAACGCTATAACTCGAAAACTAATGAAGATAACCTACATTTTTTTCTTGCAGATAATAGCTTAGGAATTGAGCTATAATTTGGATAAAATTTTTTTTCTCAATTGCCACGCCCATTATGAAAAATGTGGGCGTTTTACTTTAAAACGTTTGTAAAATCGTTAATTATAAGCGTTTTTAAAAATTAATGATGGCATCTTTTAGGCGATATCTTTGTCTATAGACATGTCAAATTTTATAGTCATAGCTTCAATATTAGTTAAACCTTGATCAAATCTTTGATTTCATTATTTTTCCACAAAAATGCTGTTTACGCTGCTTTTTCACATTTTTTTTACAAACTTTATAACTCTGAAACTAGCGAAGCAATTCACATGATTTCTTTTTCATGTAAAAGTTTAGAAAATGGACTTCTATATGGAACACAAATATTTGTTAGACTGCCACGCCCATTATGAAAAATGTGGGCGCTTTACTTTAAAACTTTTGTAAAATCGGTAATTATAAGCGTTTTTAAAAATTAATGATGGCATCTTTTAGGCGATATCTTTTTCTATGAACATGTCAAATTTTATAGTTATAGCTCCAATATTGGTAAAACTTTGATCAAATCTATGATTTCATGATTTTTCCACAAAAAAGCTGTTTACGTTGCTTTATCACATTTTCTTACAAACTTTATAACTCTAAAACTAGCGAAGCGATTCTCATGATTTCTTTTTCATTTAAAAGCTTAGGAAATGGACTTTTACACGGATTACAAATATTTGTCAAACTGCCACGCCCATTATGAAAAAAGTAGACGTTGTACTTTAAAACGCTTATACTTACATAACAAAGAAGCTTTTTGAATTGTTAATGGGGTCATCTTGTAGGCAATATCTCTTTCTATAAACGTACCAAATTTGAAGTTGATAGCCCCATGTTTGGGCATACTATGGACAAAACTGTGCTTTTAAAAGTTAACAAAAACAAGCATTTTTTCTACTTCATCATTAAGAAGTTTCAAGCGGTTTAACTCATAAACTATTGAAGCGTTTTAAGCCATTTCTTCTTCATAGGATAGGTTTGGAAATCTAGTTTGTATACATGCAAAAATATCATCCTGCAGGTTCACCTCCTTCAAAATACTTAAGTTTTAGGTTTTAAAACGCTCCCGAAACTTAACAGTATCTTTAATGTGTAATAACTTCCAAACCGGTGAAGCTTTTTCCAAAATTTCTTCACTGTAGGCTAGACTTTTAATTCGACTTTCATATGCTATGCAATTTTTGTGGAAAATTTCACCCCCATTTACCGCTTTATACATTTTATCTTTAAATGCTTATAATACTTGAGATTGAGGAGCGTTGTCAAATTTTTTGGTAAGATCGGATTTGTCATGTCTTTTTCCAGATCCGTGCCAAATTTCATCCATATTGCTTAAATTCTGTAGCAGTTATAAGCAATTTTCTGAATTTTTGATTATTCCACAAAAAGTGATTTTTCAAAAGCTCAATTTTTTTTGTGAACTACTAGGAAAACATAATCGAACAGTAGGTGGATTTCACGTCGAACTTTTCTTTAAAACGCTATAACTCGAAAACTAATGAAGATAACCGACATTTTTTTCTTGCAGATAATAACTTAGGAATTGAGCTATAATTTGGATAAAATTTTTTTTCTCAATTGCCACGCCCATTATGAAAAATGTGGGCGTTTTACTTTAAAACGTTTGTAAAATCGTTAATTATAAGCGTTTTTAAAAATTAATGATGGCATCTTTTAGGCGATATCTTTGTCTATAGACATGTCAAATTTTATAGTCATAGCTTCAATATTAGTTAAACCTTGATCAAATCTTTGATTTCATTATTTTTCCACAAAAATGCTGTTTACGCTGCTTTTTCACATTTTTTTTACAAACTTTATAACTCTGAAACTAGCGAAGCGATTCACATGATTTCTTTTTCATGTAAAAGTTTAGAAAATGGACTTCTATATGGAACACAAATATTTGTTAGACTGCCGCGCCCATTATGAAAAATGTGGGCGCTTTACTTTAAAACTTTTGTAAAATCGGTAATTATAAGCGTTTTTAAAAATTAATGATGGCATCTTTTAGGCGATATCTTTTTCTATGAACATGTCAAATTTTATAGTTATAGCTCCAATATTGGTAAAACTTTGATCAAATCTATGATTTCATGATTTTTCCACAAAAAAGCTGTTTACGTTGCTTTATCACATTTTCTTACAAACTTTATAACTCTAAAACTAGCGAAGCGATTCTCATGATTTCTTTTTCATTTAAAAGCTAAGGAAATGGACTTTTACACGGATTACAAATATTTGTCAAACTGCCACGCCCATTATGAAAAAAGTAGACGTTGTACTTTAAAACGCTTATACTTACATAACAAAGAAGCTTTTTGAATTGTTAATGGGGTCATCTTGTAGGCAATATCTCTTTCTATAAACGTACCAAATTTGAAGTTGATAGCCCCATGTTTGGGCATACTATGGACAAAACTGTGCTTTTAAAAGTTAACAAAAACAAGCATTTTTTCTACTTCATCATTAAGAAGTTTCAAGCGGTTTAACTCATAAACTATTGAAGCGTTTTAAGCCATTTCTTCTTCATAGGATAGGTTTGGAAATCTAGTTTGTATACATGCAAAAATATCATCCTGCAGGTTCGCCTCCTCCAAAATACTTAAATTTTAGGTTTTAAAACGCTCCCGAAACTTAACAGTATCTTTAATGTGTAATAACTTCCAAACCGGCGAAGCTTTTTCCAAAATTTCTTCACTGTAAGCTAGATTTTTAGTTCGACTTTTATATGCTATGCAATATTTTTAAACTTTCACTCCCATTTTGCGTTTTTAACTTTATATGTATAAAACTGGAGATTGAGGAACATTGTCAAATTTTTTAAATGAATGGATTTGTCGTATCTATAACTCTAAAACTAATGCAGATAACTAAACTTTGTTTTCGGCATCTAACAGCATACGAACTGTGCTATTATATGGATCCGAAATTTGTTCCCTAATGTCACACCTATTATGAAAAAAGTTGGCGTTTTACGTAATTACTTTTTTATGTAATTACTTTTTCACCTGGTAGATTTGGAAATTTATTTTTTTTAATTATATCCCATAGATATATTTTTTATTAATTACATCATAATTTGATGTGCCGAATTCGAAAATAACATTGAAATGTTCGTATTACCCATCAATTCTCAACATACAATTCCGTAACAAATATTCATTTCCGTAATTTTACAAAAGTTCCCTCTAGACTTATACTTTAAGATAGAAAAAATGCATTCTTGAAAAAATTAGGGCGATATGGCTCTGAAAATGATTTTCGAAAACATTGTTTATCATTAAATTGAAAATTAATGTATATTTTTAAAAAGTTAGATAGAAAATATATTTAGAACATTCTGACTCTCAATACCATAGTTTTTGAATAGCATTTTAATCCATTATTTAAAAAAGATGTTTTTAACTATGTTTGTATCTAAAAAAATATTTTGAAATTTATAAAAACTATTGCACTATAAAACTAATTTAAAATGGACTGTTTCTGTTTTTCATTAGTTGTTATCGTTTTTTAATAATAATAATAGTGTTCTTTTCTTTTGTTAAATACAAAAATAAGGCAAATTGTGTATGTGTACAAAATTTGTTCGTACTGTATCTTCAAGGCAAATTAAAATAAATACGTGTTTTTAATATTTTGTTTATAATTAAATAACAATTCTGTATTCTTATGTTAACGTTTAATTTTAGTACTTTAAGTACATACTAAAGAAAAATATTTTACAAAATAAATAAAATATTTAAAACTTAAACATATGTAAAAAAAACATAAAATACAAAAAGATATTTAGAATTTGTTACGCTTACAACACTTTTGTATGTTTTTAAAATAAATTACAGTTTTTTACATTAATTCTTATAAAATTATAGCAAACAAATAATGTTTAACAATTTTAAATCCTTTAAATAAAATTATAAAACTTGTGACTTATTAACTACTTCCACTACACTAAAACTACACTGGTGTTATGTGATCATGATCTGAAACATGATCACTTGCATTGTTGTTGGTATTGGCATTACGTTTACGTAGCTGTACTCCTTCATCTTCTTCCTCTTCGATGGGATCTGAAAATCCACTATTATTTAATGTATTATGGACACCTTTTAATATGTTGGAAGCCACGTTGTGTGCTTTATCTACAAGTTTTTTGGCAGCTGCTTTTTGGGCCATAATCTTTTCATATTCAATAATATGCTCACGCAACAAAAAGTTTTCCCGCTTAATACGTTTCAATAGCTTACCCGAAACATCGGGTATAGCCCAAGCTATAATAGTTTGTAACACACCAATAATATTCTAAAAACAGACAAATATTTGAAAAGTTCTCATTAACAGTTTAAATTTAAATTACCTGAAACACCACTATAAATGCCAATCTAGCCGTCAAAATTTTCCAATATATCATGGGCCGTTTATAGGGATGTTCATCCCATGGTGGATTTCTAAATTCTGTATAACGACAAGAAGTCACATTCGTATAGGGCGATCCCACTATCAGCGGCTGAATTTGAAAATCTTTGGTATTAAAATAGGCCAAGGTAAAGTTTAGGTAGCCTTCAAGCGTCTCATCATGTGTGGCAGTTTTGTAGACTAGTTTTGGTATAAGATTTGTTGAGAATGCAATAATCATGGCACATGAAGCTACGGCAATTTTTGTTACCACAGTCATAATACCAAACCAGACACCGATATCATGAGCCCTTTGAGCAACGGGTCTACGTATGAATTTCAACATTTTAATGGCATCCAATCGCACTTCAATGACGTTATTGATAAGGGCTAATAGAGGCGCCAGGGGAAAGGCTAAACCGAATAGGGTTATAAAGCCGTATTGGAGTACTGAAAAATTAAAGAAAGCGTTTATTTGTTATTGAAATATTCTACATATCGAGAAAAGAAGGTAAAGCTGAGCTTTAATAATGAAAATTAACTTAACTGAACTAGAACTGAACTAGAACTAAACTAGAATTGAACTAGAACTGAACTAGAACTGAACTAGAACTGAACTAGAACTGAACTAGAACTGAACTAGAACTGAACTAGAACTGAACTAGAACTGAACTAGAACTGAACTAGAACTGAACTAGAACTGAACTAGAACTGAACTAGAACTGAACTAGAACTGAACTAGAACTGAACTAGAACTGGACTAGAACTGACTAGAACTGAACTAGAACTGAACTAGAACTGAACTAGAATTGAACTAGAACTGAACTAGAACTGAACTAGAACTGAACTAGAACTGAACTAGAACTGAACTAGAACTGAACTAGAACTGAACTAGAACTGAACTAGAACTGGAACTAGAACTGAACTAGAACTGAACTAGAACTGAACTAGAACTGAACTAGAACTGAACTAGAACTGAACTAGAACTGAACTAGAACTGAACTAGAACTGATCTAGAACTGAACTAGAACTGAACTAGAACTGAACTAGAACTGAACTAGAACTGAACTAGAACTGAACTAGAACTGAACTAGAACTGAACTAGAACTGAACTAGAACTGAACTAGAACTGAACTAGAACTGAACTAGAACTGAACTAGAACTGAACTAGAACTGAACTAGAACTGAACTAGAACTGAACTAGAACTGAACTAGAACTGAACTAGAACTGAACTAGAACTGAACTAGAACTGAACTAGAACTGAACTAGAACTGAACTAGAACTGAACTAGAACTGAACTAGAACTGAACTAGAACTGAACTAGAACTGAACTAGAACTGAACTAGAACTGAACTAGAACTGAACTAGAACTGAACTAGAACTGAACTAGAACTGAACTAGAACTGAACTAGAACTGAACTAGAACTGAACTAGAACTGAACTAGAACTGAACTAGAACTGAACTAGACTGAACTAGAACTGAACTAGAACTGAACTAGAACTGAACTAGAACTGAACTAGAACTGAACTAGAACTGAACTAGAACTGAACTAGAACTGAACTAGAACTGAACTAGAACTGAACTAGAACTGAACTAGAACTGAACTAGAACTGAACTAGAACTGAACTAGAACTGAACTAGAACTGAACTAGAACTGAACTAGAACTGAACTAGAACTGAACTAGAACTGAACTAGAACTGAACTAGAACTGAACTAGAACTGAACTAGAACTGAACTAGAACTGAACTAGAACTGAACTAGAACTGAACTAGAACTGAACTAGAACTGAACTAGAACTGAACTAGAACTGAACTAGAACTGAACTAGAACTAAAATAGAACTGAACTAGAACTGAACTAGAACTGGACTAGAACTGGACTAGAACTGGACTAGAACTGAACTAGAACTGGACTAGAACTGAACTAGAACTGGACTAGAACTGAACAAGAACTGAACTAGAACTGAACTAGAACTGAAATAGAACTGAACTAGAACTGAACTAGAACTGAACTACAACTGAACTAGAACTGAACTAGAACTGAACTAGAACTGAACTAGAACTGAACTAGAACTGAACTAGAACTGAACTACAACTGAACTAGAACTGAACTAGAACTGAACTAGAACTGAACTAGAACTGAACTAGAACTGAAATAGAACTGAACTAGAACTGAACTAGAACTGAACTAGAACTGAACTAGAACTGAAATAGAACTGAACTAGAACTGAACTAGAATTGAACTAGAACTGAACTAGAACTGAACTAGAACTGAACTAGAACTGAACTAGAACTGAACTAGAACTGAACTAGAACTGAACTAAAACTGAACTAGAACTGAACTAGAACTGAACTAGAACTGAACTAAAACTGAACTAGAACTGAACTAGAACTAAACTAGAACTGAACTAGAACTAAACTAGAACTAAACTAGAACTAGAACTGAACTAGAACTGAACTAGAACTGAGCTAGAACTGAACTAGAACTGGACTAGAACTGGACTAGAACTGAACTAGAACTGAACTAGAACTGAACTAGAACTGAACTAGAACTGAACTAGAACTGAACTAGAACTGAACTAGAACTGAACTAGAACTGAACTAGAACTGCACTAGAACTGAACTAGAACTGAACCAGAACTGAACTAGAACTGAACTAGAACTGAACTAGAACTGAACTAGAACTGAACTAGAACTGAACTAGACTGAACTAGAACTGAACTAGAACTGAACTAGAACTGAACTAGAACTGAACTAGAACTGAACTAGAACTGAACTAGAACTGAACTAGAACTGAACTAGAACAGAACTAGAACTGAACTAAAACTGAACTAGAACTGAACTAGAACTGAACTAGAACTGAACTAGAACTGAACTAGAACTGAACTAGAACTGAACGAGAACTGAACTAGAACTGAACTAGAACTGAACGAGAACTGAACTAGAACTGAACTAGAACTGATCTAGAACAGAACTAGAACAGAACTAGAACAGAACTAGAACAGAACTAGAACAGAACTAGAACAGAACTAGAACAGAACTAGAACAGAACTAGAACAGAACTAGAACAGAACTAGAACAGAACTAGAACAGAACTAGAACAGAACTAGAACAGAACTAGAACAGAACTAGAACTAAAACTGAACTAGAACTGAACTTGAACTGAACTAGAACTGAACTAGAACTAAACTAGAACTGAACTAGAACTAGAACTAGAACTAAACTAGAACTGGAACTGAACTAGAACTGAACTAGAACTGAACTAGAACTGAATTAGAACTGAACTAAAACTGAACTAGAATTGAACTAGAACTAAACTAGTTCTGAACTAGAACTGAACTAAAAGGGGATCTATAACTAAACTAGAACAATGGATACATTATCTGATCAATTTTATTTCTTCATCTACTCACCCATTTCCAAGTATTCCAGAAACATCGAATGATCCGTCCACGGTATCAAATGATAATCCTCCGTCCATTGATTGCACGACACCAATTTCTCCTCATTATTCTTCTTACGCATACCACAACGAGTACCGAATTTCTTAAAAGTCTTGGTCAAATATGGTATCAGCATTTCCACAATTGCATTCACAGCCTGTTTACCCACCATAATAATGACCAATTGCATGCACAGTTCCATGAGACAACCTCCTGGATTGCATTCCTCCTGACGGAAGCCCAGTATGCGATTATATTTTGCAGGATAACCCACAAATTTTCCCTTAAGGAAAGCAATATAGAAGAGCGAAGAGTAGTAATTTACAAATTGGAAAACATAATTCTTGATGGTCAAACTTTCGTCGTATTCGGTTTTGGTGCGACAATACTCCCAATTTGTGAGCGTTACCGCCAAGGAACCATAAATATAGTCGAGTATGGAAATCAGTATTAGATCGATAACACCAGCCGTCATGGGTAAGAACATAATTTTATAGGTCATGGAATCCTCATTGCCAAAGATGCTGTGCGAAGCACGCTGAGCCATGCGATAGACCACCATGGAGAAGATGCCAATTATTGATATGCATATCTGGAAAAGATTTAAGTTTAGATACATAATATTTTATACAAATTAAAATGTGTTTAGGACTTACAAATAAAACCATGATGCTGTAACTTGTAAAACTGGGAAGGAACTTTGTGGTCCAAAAAGGCACATCTGGCTCAAATACACTGTTCTCATGCTCCAGTTTATCTGCAAGCTTCTTATTTTTACGTAGTTTAGCTAAATATTGAGGTCTAGGATGCTCTACATCGTGTGTGTAGCCGGTAAGACCCCATCTATGCACCAGTCTAGCCGAATAACGTTTCCAAAGTTCAAGATATAAAACGGCTGAAAGAACAAGGTTCGAATCAAACATTTATAGAAATTTACTGCAATTTAAAAAGTAAGATCTTTACAAAAAAGGTTGACTTACCCCATATAGACATTACAAAAGCAAATACCACTGTAATATTGTTGTCTATTAAATAATTTATTTTGGATGAATTACAGGTGGCCTTCAACTGCCAATAGTCACAATTACGATCGCATTGTGGACACATTAAGGTTGCATTGTTATCATTACAAATTTCTCGACTATAATTTAGAAAATATTAAATTTTTTGTATTAAATTTTATAAAATATTCTATAAATGCCTACCTTATTGGATCTGAGTTCCAAGTTACAAAACCGTATATAAAAAATAAAATACCAATTATACTAACTGGTATCAGCATGTGTGTATAAAATCCCAACCAGGCAAAATATAATGCTACCTTGGCACCAAAATACTCCTTTATACTATCCAAAGGTTGTAAACTACAGAATACAGAAATGTAATGTTAAATATGATTAAAAATATAAATTTTATTTCATGTTATTACTTACTGTTTCCATTTCTTTAAATTGGCCCACTCACTTAACAATAAATCACGATCAGTATCCTGTTAATATACGGTTATTATTTATTTTGTTTCTTTAATATTTCACTTCTTCAGAGTTACTTACATCATGTAATGTGTAGGCCGACTCATAAACACCATCGGCCAATAACTTCTCTATGCCTAAATTATCCGGCGTCTCTTCACCTTCTATGAAATTTTGTCGTTCCAATATAAAATTAATAATATAATTCCGGGTACCCGCATCAAAGAAATTTGGTTGTTCGAAATCGAATCTGTAAAATATAAAAAATAGTTCGTAAAAATTCAAAGTTTTATGTTCTCTTTCAAATAATCTTGGATCTTCAATGTTCATAAAACTCGAAACAACCTTAGTCTTTTTATTGGAATCAGTAGAATAAGCCCATAAATTCGATTATAATATGAAAATGCTATGTTTAATATAACAAGACATTTTTATTTTGATCACAAATGAGATTGAGTTTTAGAAATTTTGAATAACGAACGAATATTGAAATATCTGTCTGTCCGTCTGGGTGTCTAATTAATGCCGAAGTGCTTTACGTGAGTACCTGCCGTGTTGGCCTATCTCACGGTGATCTTTTTGTGGCGACTCACCACCGCCCTTCAATCTTCAATGAAGAAATCAGGTGGCAATTTTTATACATGGCTAAGCCGGTCCATGTACAAGTACTGTGCTGGTACATTGAGCTATCTAATCTCTGACCAATGCTTTCATCATTTCCGTTTACAACCACGCAGATGGGATGTCCTCTGTTGATTCGGCAACAGCACATAGAGACGTAACCGGTAGACCGAAGTACGAATCCATCAAATTAGCGTAGACTTTGTTATTACTCACAGTGACACACTGTGGTAATTCTGATATGAACAGAGTTTACTCTGACATATCTGGACAAGGAAGGAAAATTCAATGGTATCATTTGTATATGATACCTTTCATCCATCATCATTCAACCCAGCAAACTTCTCATTCATCCGACACATTCATAAGAAAAAACATACGACACACTTATTCTAGGTAAACAGTTGGGCGAGGCCCGCATACCCCACATTCATCCCGTACCATATATAATTAACACCAACTAATTTCCAACGCTAAGTCCCACAGTCACTCCCCTGTGAAGTAACTGTTGTTTCGGCAACAGCACCGAACTTATCCCGAAATATTGACTTTACCTTACATCAGTCCTTTAACCGCCACTTACTCTCCCCGCGAATTTGGATTTAAACCACAGCAACTACGTGGATCCCGAAGGAACCTCAACCAACTAAACAGCCAGAACATAGTCCTGCAGGCAACTGGCCACCCGTAGTACCAGATTATGTGGTTCTCTGGTTAGACCCCATGTCAAATCATACCAAGGACTAGCCGAGGAGTGAAGTGACATCACCAGTTTATAGTCCCGGCAGACTAGAGGTACTGTTAGCACCTCTTTACCCCGGGATTGCAATACACCATGATGGGACATTTCATCATGGAAACATGCCCCGGGGGTCGTCTGTGTGTCTGTTGAAATGAGGGCTTAGAAGACCCCAGATATCTGTGAGATCCGGATCTTCAATAATTCTGTCTGACATGCATTCGAAAAGAAAGCTTTCGATCTTCAACTTTTTGGTACTTTTCGATCTTCAAAAGGTATTTTTTGAAGATCTTACTTTGGAGTAAAAAAGAATCTTTAATATGAAACTTTTTGGTACTTTTTCTTCTTCAACAGGTACAATTTGTATTGTCTATAATATTGAAACTAGAGGTATGATATTATGCATATAGAGCCCGGAGTAAGTGAGAACATATAAAAGGGGACTTTCTGGTACTTTTTATACCCTACACCACTCTAGTGAGGAGGGTATATTGGGTTTGTGCTTATGTTTGTAACGCACAACAATAGTGGTCCTATACCCACCGTAAAGTATACCAATCCGCTTAGAATCGTTTTCTGAGTCGATTTAGCTATGTCCGTCCGTCCATGTAAACTTTGTAATCAAACTACAAGTTCCAATTTTGAAGATAATTTTGAAGTGAAAATTTGTACATGATTTTCTAATGTCGCAGGGACGAAGCCTATTGAAAATGGTTAACATCGGTCCATTATTTCATTTAGCCCCCATACAACTGAACCCCCCAATAGGGCTTTTAAGTTCATAATTATGTTTAGTATATTCGTATCTCTGCAAAACCAAGTTCTATTCTAGCCTTGATGACCCTGATGAATTTTATAATAAAAGGGCCTCATTTTAGTTTACATATGAACTATGTTTTTAAATATAGAAACTTTTCTTATCGCTTATAATAAAATTATTTTCTTCATGGCTGTAGCACAATTATAATACAAGTCCGCATTAGGGTGGTGCTTAAAACTGAAATATAGCGATAAAAGAGCATATTTTCAAAATTTTGTAATTCCAAAGCAATTTTTTTTAATATAACGTATTATGAAAATAATGAAGTTGTATACAATAAACCAATTAAATGCTTTATAGAAATTATAATAATTGAATTAAAACAATGTCCAAGGAAATTTTATGAAAGCGAGATTTATATATGCATCTGTTTTAATTTTCAATAAATGATCCATAATGTTTTTAAAATTTCGGTATAATGAATAGTTAATAATTGTCAAGTAAAAAAGTCCATATTTTGATAATTATCATAAAACAATGACAACAAAGTAGAAAAATTAGGGAGTGTTTTAATATTTTTCCATTCAGTGACAAACAATGAATTAATTATTTTCAGTCAAAAATTGTTCTTTTAAGTGTTTTGGACGAAAAAAATATTATATCCTATGAAAAGACAAAAATTTTTTCTTGAACCAGCACTCAGTGCATAACCCCTGTTAATGCAGTGCATTGTATTGGAACTAGGGAAATATATTGATATTGACATGAGGATAGATTTGATTTAAATCTTTTTACATTTGGTCAGATTTCAAACGATACTTCTTAATCAGTATTTTACTTAAATATAAAACATAAATTAACCACTTACAAATGCTCATAGTTACGTTGAAATTCAAAATAAATACGTTTTGGTTTAGGTGGAAATTTCTCTGGATTCAGTTGGACAGATTTAAATATTTTCGCACAGCATGATCTTACACTCTCACTCAATTCAAATTCTTCAACATAGATTTGATCTTGACCGGGTATCTAGAAGAAAAAAAAACGCACACACACACACATTAAATTTAATAAGTTTAAATCAATGTAATTGATGTCACTTTATACTCACCTTTTTCATTGGTAATTTAATTCTAAGAATTTCAGCATAACGACACAACACTTCATGGGGGGCATGAATCTTAATGAAATGTATACGTTGAGTATTATCACGTTCCAGGTGAAGGCCTTCTTTCTCTAAATTTGCCTCGAAAATTTCACGTTTCTTAATATTATCCAACTTGTGATCGGCACCGCTAAAGGCCAAAACAAAATCAACACTACGTTGGCCATCTTGGAAGCGGCGTCTTGTCTATGATTGTTAGAATTTCATTAAAATTTAATAAATTAAAAAAAGATTTATCAAATACTATAATGTTAAAAAAATAGCTAAAATGATATCTAAAAATAATTTTTTAAAATAAAAATATGTATATTAAAAAAATTATTTCATACTTGTATATCTATTTGTATTAATTCTGTATCGAAAAATTTTTCTATACAATTTCCCATATTTTGTCATGTGAAATTTTTATTTAGTTCTAGCTAATTTTTTTGTGTCGTAGCCATAATATTTAAAAAACAATATAATAAATTATTAACAAAAAACCAACATTTTTTAATATGATTCACTTTATATTATATTTATTTTTTTGTGCCGAAAACAATTTCACAGATCATCAAAATAAAAAAAATAATTGAAATAAAAACTCCACAATAATTTTAAGTATGCTTTGTGTTTAATGCCTCAGTCACATCTGATATTCCTATGAATTCTGAGCAAAATTCTCTGCACAATGTCATTTCATCTGTCACCTTACTCTGTACAATTTATATCTGTTCCTACATTCCCATTTAAATATGAACTTCTCTCTTTACAATGTCAAACAGAAACAATCACCCATTGTGTTCTTTAAGTAACTTATGGCCTCTCTTTTAGACCGGTTACTCAAAATAGTGTGGAGCAGAGATGGAAAATGTGTAAATTGAGTTGAAAATGCACTCAAAAGCTAGTGGTACTTTTCCGTAACAAAAATATTTAAGTTAATACCATAAGTCAACTTTGAAAATAATATATAGAAGTATACGTAATACTTCCCCGATATTCTAAACTTTAATAAATTATGAATATTACATTCCTTATTAACTCTAAACAAAAAAGTATTTTAAAGGTTCTGCTCAAAAGGTTACAATAGTACTTAATTTACCATCCCTGTTGTGGATCGTATAGGAAAATATGAGTGCTTTAAACAACAAGTAGCATTATTTGAATTTAAGTTATGGGCGCGAGTCATCATTTTAATAAATATGTACTCAAGTTCTTTTCTTTTGTTTTAACTGATGAATAAACATTTAAATTTACTTCTCAAAAATTTTGATGTTCTGGCGTATGTTAACAGGTTTCAATGTTTTCTTATTATAAACAAAAATTATTTTTGAAATTCAATTGATGTTTTTACTATTTGTTTATACTATAATTCAAATATTTTAAATGTTTGCTACTAATTTGAGCGTAAAATTTAATGGATAGGATAATTATGAATAACGATCAGTGCAAAGACTGTACTATTGATTAGTTTAGTCTGCAAGATATTAGTCTATAGTACGAACTACAAATCGAACTATAGTCAGGACTATAGATCGAACTATAGTCTGGAATGTAGATCAGTCTATAGTTTGGACTATAGCTATAGATAGACTATAGAACAGTCTATAGTCAGGACTATAGATCGGTCTAGAGTTTGAACTATAGATCAGCCTATAGTCTGGACTATAGATCAGTCTATAGTCTGGACTATAGATCAGTCTATAGTCTGGACTATAGATCAGTCTATAGTCTGGACTAAAGATCAGTCTATAGTCTGGACCATAGATCAGTCTATAGTCTGGACTATAGATCAGTCTATAGTCTGGACTATAGATCAGTCTATAGTCTGGACTATATATCAGTTTATAGTCTGGACTATAGATCAGTTTATAGTCTGGACTATAGATCAGTCTATAGTCTGGACTACAGATCAGGCTATAGTCTGGACTACAGATCAGGCTATAGTCTGGACTACAGATCAGGCTATAGTCTGGACTATAGATCAGTCTATAGTCTGGACTATAGATCAGTCTATAGTCTGGACTATAGATCAGTCTATAGTCTGGACTATAGATCAGTCTATAGTCTGGACTATAGATCAGTCTATAGTCTGGACTATAGATCAGTCTATAGTCTGGACTATAGATCATTCTATAGTCTGGACTATAGATCATTCTATGGTCTGGACTATAGATCCGTCTATAGTCAGGACTATAGATCGGTCAATAGTCAGGACTATAGATCCGTCTATAGTCAGGACTATAGATCGGTCTATAGTCAGGACTATAGATCAGTCTATAGTCAAGACTATAGATCAGTCTATAGTCTGGACTATAAATCAGTCTATAGTCTGGACTAAAGATCATTCTATAGTCTGGACTATAGATCGGTCTATAGTCAGGACTATAGATCGGTCTATAGTCAGGACTATAGATCAGTCTATAGTCTGTACTATAGATCAGTCTATAGTCTGGACTATAGATCAGTCTATAGTCTGGACTATAGATCAGTCTATAGTCTGGACTATAGATCAGTCTAGTAGTCTGGACTATAGATCAGTCTGTAGTCTGGACTATAGATCAGTCTGTAGTCTGGACTATAGATCAGTCTATAGTCTGGACTATAGATCAGTCTATAGTCTGGACTATAGATCAGTCTATAGTCTGAACTAAAGATCAGTCTATAATCTGGACTATAGATCAGTCTATAGTCTGGACTATAGATCAGTCTATAGTCTGGACTATAGATCAGTCTATAGTCTGGACTATAGATCAGTTTATAGTCTGGACTATAGATCAGTTTATAGTCTGGACTATAGATCAGTCTATAGTCTGGACTACAGATCAGGCTATAGTCTGGACTATAGATCAGTCTATAGTCTGGACTATAGATCAGTCTATAGTCTGGACTATAGATCAGTCTATAGTCTGGACTATAGATCAGTCTATAGTCTGGACTATAGATCAGTCTATAGTCTGGACTATAGATCAGTCTATAGTCTGGACTATAGATCAGTCTATAGTCTGGACTATAGATCAGTCTATAGTCTGGACTACAGATCAGTCTATAGTCTGGACTATAGATCGGTCTATAGTCAAGACTATAAATCGGTCTATAGTCAGGACTATAGGTCGGTCTATAGTCAGGACTATAGATCAGTCTATAGTCTGGACTATAAATCAGTCTATAGTCTGGACTATAGATCAGTCTATAGTCTGGACTATAGATCAGTCTATAGTCTGGACTATAGATCAGTCTATAGTCTGGACTATAGATCAGTCTATAGTCTGGACTATAGATCGGTCTATAGTCAGGACTATAGATCGGTCTATAGTCAGGACTATAGATCAGTCTATAGTCAGGACTATAGATCAGTCTATAGTCAGGACTATAGATCAGTCTATAGTCAGGACTATAGATCGGTCTATAGTCAGGACTATAGATCAGTCTATAGTCTGGACTATAGATCAGTCTATAGTCTGGACTATAGATCAGTCTATAGTCTGGACTATAGATCAGTCTATAGTCTGGACTATAGATCAGTCTATAGTCTGGACTATAGATCAGTCCATAGTCTTGACTATGGGTCAGTCTATAGTCTGGGCTATAGATCAGTCTATAGTCTGGACTATAGATCAGTCTATAGTCTGGACTATATATCGGTATATAGTCTGAACTATAGATCAGTCTATAGTCTGAACTGTATATCAGTCAGTAGTATAGACTAAAGATTAATATATAGTCTGGACTAAAGATTAATCTATAGTCTGCGATATAAATCAATCTGTAGTCTGCACTATAGGTCAATCTATAGTCTGTACTACAGGTCAATCTATTAGTCGGAATATAGATCAATATATTATCTGGAATAGTTATTATAATACTAATCAAAATAGTTATTATAATACTAATCCTTCATAAACAATTAGTCACGACTGCTGATCTCTCTATGGGGTGGAACTTTATAAATTCGTGTGCATTCTGGACAATAGATGTATACGTCGTATGATCCTCATATTAGTTTTATTATAGTTTATAAATAGATTCATAGTCTGGACTACGGTGTCTTCGTAATTTTAAGAAAAAGTTAAAACAAACTTAAATAAGATAGATGTTCTATAATCAATTACAACTAATCAAAACTGTCATTAAATGTTTATGTACATAAAAAAGGTCCGGTAACATGATCTATTGTGTGGAAAAAAATGTTTAAATTAAATAAACCCACATGCAATCAAGCGTTATATATCAAAATCAATCTAATAAAATAACGTTTTAAAGCCATACAAAATTAGCTAAATTATATAATAGAAAACAATAATGTCATAAATCTAAAAATAAGCTAAACTAATTATAGGGGGAAAAAAATTGCCATTACCCGTTCCCGCAAGCAGTTTTAATTAATCTTTATTTTAATTTTTTTTAACAACACAATTCATTGCATAGAATAAGAAAAAAATAAGGTAAAAATGTTATAAATAAATAAAAAAAGTATTTAAATAATAAAGGCAGTTAGAAGAGATATAGATTACAAGTTAAAACAGTGGAGTTAATAAAAATAGCACCTATTACTTTAAAATTGCATTAAAACATTTAAGTAATTGTTATTTAAATTTTATACAAAAACTGCTATTTTTATTAACTTAAGTGTTTGTTTTTGTAATTGAAATATGTAATAGTGCAGATATAGAGGTGAAGAGTTAAGTGTAGAAAAGTTTTCAAAATTCCAATTTATTAAAAGTGATAATTTGGTTGGTGTTTTTAGAGAGTGTGTTTGTGTGTGTTTTGAAAAGATAATTACAGCCAAAAGCAATAAATTAAAATTTATATTTTTTGTGGAATAGAAGCTCAATATTATAATCGTATAGAAGATAAAATGGAATTAGAAAAGTTTTGATTTTTTAGAAAATCTTTACCCTAAATTTCCACTGGGAGTACGTAATTGGCAATTTCTTATCTTTACTAGTTTGTGTACTATTCTGTAAGAGTCGCCTAGAGACTTCCATATCATTGGCCATTTGTAGTGATGTATCACCGGCACCATTACCAGCACTATAATTAGCACGACCATTCTGTAGAGCCATTACCTGTGCAGCTAAAACAGCATCTGTATAATCACCACCCCCCAAAAGACCTGCTCCTCCTCCTCCACCACCACCAGCTATACCTCCACCGCCAGCAAGACCACCATTCATATTTGGTGGCAGATATTGATCCAGTGGTGTGGAGTGTCTATAATTTGGATTCCATGAAGATCTTGCTTTGTGACCATTTTCACGCATACTACCCGTCCTGCGGGAGGGTGTTTCATCACCAGCTAAATCTACCGCAGAATGATAGATTGTATTGCGGGATTGCGATAAAGATTTACGATGGGCAGCAGCTGCTGCTGCCGCTTCTGAGTCGGCTAATGATATTGTATCAAAATATAAACTTTCGCGATCATCCATTTCGGATTCGGGATAATCGTAATCGTGTGTTCGTACTGTAAAAGAGAAGAGAGAAAACAATATTTATAGAAGCTTTTTATTTGAATAATAAAGATTTTATACAAGAAATTAACCTTTTTCAAAAAAGGGTACATTTAAAATTATTAGCTACATTCTACGAACAGAAAATACCATTGATTTTTAGTAATAAATGATTATATAATTAAATTAAAAGTAAATATTAGTACAAACAATACGAATGCAATGGGAATGCAAGGAAAATTTTTCATGAAAAATTTTATTTAATGAAATCATTTAAAAAAAAATTTATCGAATATCAAAAGGTATTTTAAAATTTAGACTACAGATCAATGTTTAAACTGGACTATAGTCTAGTCTATAGTGTGGACTAGAGATCAAAATGTAGACCATATTATAGTCTGACCTGTCTATTGTTTGGTATATATCTACTTCTTAGACTAAAATAAATGTGGATTTTGGATCTCTCTACCATCTGGTCAATATATCCGTCTGTCTATAGTGCTGTATATAAATAGTTTTGTCTTTAGTCAGATCAGTCCATAGTCATAAACCAATTTATAGTCATTCCTATAAATTAGTCTATATATATACATTTTATATTGTTGATTACCGTTTGATTTATTGTTCGGATTATAAATAAGTCTTTAGTCGGGACTATCATTCTATAGTCTGGACTATAGATCACTCTAAAGTTTGACTATAGATCAAGTCGGATCATATAACTATTTAAGGTTCAGACTATAGATCCGGATATAATTATAATTCAGTCTGAACTATAGATTAGCCTGTAGTACTTATTATATATTAGTCTATAATATGAAGTCTGGATTATAAATCACTCTATAGGTCCTGACTTAGATCAGTCTATAATCCAAATATTAGTCTATAGTATGAGGTTTGGATTATAAATCACTCTATAGGTCCTAACTTAGCTCCGTCTATAATCTGAACTATAGAACTTGACAACAGATCAGTCTATATTCTGGCCTATAGATCAGTCTATAGGTTTGGCTATAGACCAGTCTATAGGATTGACTATAGATCACTCTATAGTATGGACTAGAGATCATTTTATAGGCTTGATTAAAGATCACTTTATAGTGAAGACTAGATCACTTTGGAGTTTGAACTATAGACCATTTCATAGTCTGGAATATACATTAATTTTTAGTCTAAAATATACTATATATTACATTTTTATATAGTACGAAATATTAATCTATTTAAAGTGTGAAATACTGATCTATATTTAACCTGAAATATAGAACTGTGCACGGTCTGGAATATAGACAAATAGGTAGATTAGATTGGATATTGCAAAAACGATGAAACCTTTAGCATATTGCGAACGTAAATTGATATGACAATTGCAAAACAGTTCGTTATGTAGTTTTGCAAGATCATTGCAATTTTGCTAGATCATTATCTGCAAACGTCGAAAGCTATAGAATTGTTTGCTAGTTTATTGTACAACAATTTATTGTTTACAACTATACATATACGAGTATAAACAAATAATAAATTTTACAACAACTCTTGTAATTAGCTACCGCTTTTTCAAGATTTTGCATTGACAATTTATATTATTTAACCAATTGGTTGGTAAGTATTTATAATTGTTAATAAATAATTATTGATAATGTATCTATTGTTTATCAATGTATATGGGGATTTCTACCTAAGTATGTAAATACAAAATATATATATTTTTTAAATTCACATGTGGTAATGACATAAATGTAAAATTTGTTCAATTACCTTTTTTCTGTGAGAAAATTGAATGATATTTTGCACTAAATTGAAATATTAATTTAAATTAAAAAGTCTAATATTGCTGGCGAAATGCTTGATTTTGTCATACATAAGAAAAAAACACAATAACATATTGTAGTCCAAAGAGTATCAAACAAGTGCATACATTTAAAGAAATCTTAAACCTTAGGTGCAGAGAATACCATTTTGTTTACTTTATATATAATTAAATCTATTACTTAACAGTTATTACAAATTTTCCCATTTAAGAATTTGTTATTAAAGAAACCCACATAAATTAAAATTGATAACCAGGCGGTAAATCTCACTTAAAGTAAATAATTATTTACTATATGCAGTTGATAAAATAAATTTAGCTAAATTCAATTTAATTAATAAAAAATGAAACTTATTTTTAACTAAAATGGTGAAACATATGTGTGATAAGCAGCTTTTAAAACAAAAAACACAGACATGGATATATTTAAAAAACACACATACATACAAATGTTTATTAGTATTTCATAAATAAAAAAAAATGAAAAAATTATAAGAGCAAAGTTCTTTCTTTATAGAGGCAAATTGCAAAAGAGAACTTAATTCATAGATATTTTAAATTTAAGTAACATTCATGAACTTGAAATAAGCTTGTCTTTAATTAATAGATTTCACTTTTTGTTGTAATGTGTAAATTTTCTATATATATGGTAATACATATTTTTTTAAAGTAAATTAATGGCAATGCATCGCTTTGCTTGATTAAAATGTTATAAAAACAAAAGTGTAGAAAATATGCAATCGATTTTTAAAATAAAACAAGAAAAAATTAATTAAAATAATGCAATAGTAAATTGGATGACGTGATTTATAGAAATAATTTAAATATATTTATTGTGTTGCTAAAAGTAGCAGCGTTTCAAAAAATTCTCCGAAAAGCACGTGTTTTTATATAGACAGAACTATGGACACAACTATAGACTGAACTATAGAGCAGACTTTAGACTGAACTACAGACCAGACTACAGACTGAGTTATAGTCCAGATTATAAACTGTACTAAAGTCCTGTCGATAGACTGACAGTCTAGACTACAGACTGATCTGTAGTTCAGACTATAGACAGTGCTATGGTTCAGATTATAAAATGAACTATAGTCCATACTACTCAACCATAGTCTAAACTATAAACTGAACTCTAGAGCAGACTTATGGTCTGAACTACAATCCATACTAGAGACTATAGTCCAGACTATAAACTAAGCTAAAGTCCTGCCAATAGACTGATCTAGAACTACAATCCAGACTTCAACTGATCTATAGTCCAGACTATATACTGTACTATATTGCAGTCTATATACTGAACTGTAGTCTGTAGAACTGGTCTATCACAAACTGACTATTGACTATTCTTTATCTAGACTATAGAATGATATACAGTCCAATCTATGGACTGATTTATAGTCCAGACTATGGACTGATTTATAGTCTAGACTATAGACTTATCTATAGTCCCGACTATAGACTGTACTATATTCCAGACAATCGACAGAACTATTGTCCAGAATATCTACAGAACTATAGTCCAGACTATAGACTTAACTATATTCCAGACTGAACTGAAATGCAGACTATAGACTGAACAATAGTCCAGACTATAGACTGAACTATAGTTCTGACTATGAACTATAAACTAAACATTGGCAGGACTATGCCTATAGACTGATCAATCGTAAACTGACTATTGACTATTCTATATCTAGACTATAGAATGATCTATAGTCCAATTTATGAACAGATCTATAGTCCAGATTATCGATAGAACTATTATCAAGACTATCGACAGAACTATAGTTTAGACTATAGACTGAACTATATTCCAGTCTATAGAATAAACTGTAGTCTGTAGAACTGGTCTATCACAAACTGACTATTGACTATTCTTTATCTAGACTATAGAATGATATATAGTCCAATATATCGACTGATTTATAGTCCAGACTATGGACTGATTTATAGTCTAGACTATAGACTTATCTATATTCCAGACTATCGACTGATCTATATTCCAGACTATCGACAGAACTATTGTCCAGACTATAGACTTAACTATATTCCAGACTGAACTAAAGTCCAGACTATAGACTGTACTATAGTTCAGACTATAAACTAAAACTAGACTATAAATCTATCGTAAACTGACTATTGACTATTCTATATCTAGACTATAGAATGATCTATAGTCCAATCTATGGACTGATTTATAATCCACACTATGGACTGATTTATAGTCTAAACTATAGACTTATCTATAGTCCAGACTATAGACTGATCTATGGACAAAACTATAGTCCAGACTATAGTTTTAGACTGACTTTAGACTGAACTATAGCCCAGACTAGATGCTGAGCTATAATCCAGATTAGAAACTGAACTATAGTCCAGAGTATAAACTGAACTGTAGTCCAGAGTATAAACTGAACTATAGTCCTGTCGATAGACTGATCTATCATATTGATCAGTCAAACGTCAGTATAGGTTCTGAATCTGTGGCCTATATAGACTATGGACTTATATAAAAATTGATTTATAAACAATATACTAATCTACAGTCAAACTGTATAATGATCTTTAGTCTAGACTGAAGACTACAGACAGATACATGTTCTAGCTAATCTGCAGTGTAGACCAAGTGCCGATCTATAGACTGACTACTAACCGATCTTTAGTGTAGAATGTAGACTGATTTATAGTGCAGATTACAGATTGATGTATAGTGCATACTGCAAACCCTAGACTTGTCTATATTCCGGATTATTGTCTAATCTATAGCCTAAACTATGAACTAATCAATAGTCCAGACTATAGACTAATCTATGTTACAGGTTATAGGTTATCGAGACTGTAGTTTTTAGTGTGGACTAAATAAATCTATAGTCTGGAAAACATATCAGTCTATCAATATATAAAAATTTATCTACTAATAAATCAAATGTGCTACCTTTTCCAACACATCTGCTAGTATAACCGCAAGATTATAATATATTCTTACATACAAACATACATATGTATGTATGTAGCTATAAACAATCGACTATTAAGAGTTATAAATAATAAAAAAATAAATGCAAAAAATAAAATGATTTGGTGTCAGACAATAACAAATTCGAACATCTAAAGTGTTTAATACTCGTAGACAAACACACACTTCTCGTACAAATATTAAATTTAGTATTAGAATGAATACAATACAATACAGAAAAATAAAATATATTTATATTTATGCATTAATTACCGGCTGAATACATGTTTGATTATATTGTTTTTTATTTCGGCTGTTTAAAATAAATTTATTTAGATTTTTTTTTTTTTTTTGGTAGTCTTTTTTAAGAAGTGATGATGTAGTCAAGTATTTGTTAAAAGAAATATAAAAAAAGCAGTGGTTTTCTTTTGGTGGTAGAATTTTGGTAGAAAAGAAATTAAACAAAAAAAGTTTAAAACTAAAACTGGAACTTAAATACTGTGAAACTTTTTCTATATATTTTTTTATAACTATTTTACAGTTTTTGTTACTTCTTTTTGATATAAAACGTGCTGTTGTATATAAGGGAAAAAAAGAAGAGAAATACAATGTTGTAAATAAAATTATTTTGTTTTTTTTTTTTTTTTTTTCTATAAAAAATACTAAAATTTTAGGTTGATTGTTGTTTGATGTAGTTGTTTGGTATTTTTTTTTTACTCTTTTCTTTTGTTTTAATATTATGTACAATAAACATCACTAAGTGTCAGTAATTTTGTAATCATCATCATCATTATCATGCCACACAAATAATGTTGCTGCTACTTGCTCTCTATTTTTGTAACAGTTTGCAACGGAAATGAAATCTAAATAGACAATTTACACTTTATGCCATCAGTAAGTAGGTTTCCATTAGTATCTGTGTATATTTTTTTGAAATGTATACCGTTATTTAATCATAACAGATGGTTTCTGTTGTTGGTGTTAAAGGGTCAGTAACTTTGTTGCTGAGTAAATGCATGACCCAATAAACTTATTTTTACTTTATTCAAATAATTAAATTTCTTTTTATTTTTATATAAAATTTTAGGCAAAAATTTTTATTATAAACAAATTATCATTATTAGCACTTTTTTTAATATTTATTTAAACACTGAACTTTTAGCTCTCCCACGTTATCAAATCTTGTTTGATTTTTTTTTATATATTTTTTTCTGACGTATGCAGACCAGTTGATACTAATTTATTTTTTAATAATTTTTTTTTTTACTTTTTTTGTTATAAATTAATTCGCTTCGTATTAAACATATCGCTTTCGTTAATCATTTAAAAAGTGCGTTCACACGTTCACGTTTAGAATTAGACTAAAATATTGAAAACAAACAAACAAAAATATTTCAAATGTTTCAATTCCCTCCCATATTTCAATACCACAAATGAAAAAAAAAAATATGAACTAAAGTGCTCTCATGGAGAATTTTGTTTATTACACCTCTTTGGACGTTTATGGTTTGTATCACTTAATTTTTTTTTTCGTTTTTATGTGATGTTTTTGTTGTTTTATTAGAAAACAGCCAAAAAATGAGTAAGAATTTTTACCGGCCTTCAGTGAATCGTAGACTCTTAATGATCCAGCTACATTGTTTATTCTCCCTCTCTCGCTCTTTTTGTTCTGGCGAACGCCTAAAGCTTTATCAAATTGTTAATGATAACGTCATCAGAGCATTTTATGGGCACCGTCTGTTAGTTAAAATTTGTTGTTGAATATGAATATTATTACAAAACTGTCAGTAGCACTTTGTGATCTTCACATTCTTTATACGCAATTTAAGCAAAATGGGGAAACACTCTTAACAGATCGCATTTCAGGAATGATTCCTTATTTTCACTTCATATATTAATCAGTAATGAAGTTTTCTTTTTAAATTACTCGAATAGTGCGAATTAATAGATCGCACGATCAACGATATATCTGCGAAATTAAAAATTTTACTAATTAATCTGATTGCACCATATTCAGTCTAGGACCATTTTTCAGAAATCATATTTTAATTAAGATGCATTTATAAAATCGCTTAAATAGCCCCCAAATATCCGCATAAACTTTAGCATTGGCCTCTAGGATAACTTATGTTTTAGATCATGGTCGATTGTGGTTTAAAACACGACACGCACGATCTTAATACCCTTAAAATAGTTCTACCAGATATCGTTTTTATTTTGGAACACGTAAGGCATAACAAATTCTCTATACACCTGTCACAATTTTTTCATTCATGTTTATTGCTTTGTACGTGTGTGTGATAGTGTGCACACGTATGGTTTGATCATTAACTTGTTTATTTTGCTTTTAGTTTTTACTTTTTTTTTCTAGAGTCAAGTGTATATTCCATATATATTTCTCTTAATTTCTAAACACATTCATTCATATTAATATAATACGTGAGTTGCTGTTTGTATTCTGTTGTGGTAAGATCAAGATCAAATAGTTTTTGTTTTTATATAGAAAACCTGCTATAACTTTGTATAGTGATCTCTTGACTCATTATGTGTATCAAGAGGCCTAATAATAATTTATGAGTTTTGCATGGCTATAAATTTGTATAATGCTAAATAAAAGTCAATTAACTTTGGAGTGGATGTGTTCCTAAGCCCTTTTGAAGCCAAAAGAATTTAAATTCAATGGTAATACTAAATAATTAATGATAAAAAAATAAATATCTGTCAATTTTTGCAAGATAATGAAGAATAGTTAGAAAAAAACATAATTGGGTGAAGAGTCTGAAAGATATTCTTAGAACTAAATGCCTCAATTTCATATTTATAAATGAACCAGTGAGGACTGGAAAGTATTGGAGAGATTGAGTGGAGATCCAAAAAAATAGTTTATCTCATATGGTGACAAATTGCTTAAAAGAGTATCCCCAACCTAAACAGCAAGAATAGAATGTTGATTTAAAGAATGATCCTTTTATATCACGGTATGTTCAGGGTTTACTCTGTTCATACCAGACTTACCACGGAACATATCTTCGAATCAACAGAGGCAGTTCCATCTGCGCGATTATAAGAGGAAGTGATGCTTCTGAAGCATCTGAGAAATAAGCTTAATTACTCATGAAAAGTGCTTATACATGGAACTGAATGTCGAAGTGCTTTACGTGAACACCTGCCGTGTTGACCTATTTCACAGTCAGCTTTTGTAACTAATCACCACCGTCCCATTGTGCTTCTTACACGCAGGTGGCAATTTACGTATATGGAATTTCCGTTTCGTGCACTTTCCTCAAGTACTTGAGCTATCTAATCTCTGACAATTGCTGCCCCGTTTCTTAACTTCGGAGATGCAAAAACAATACTTCTGTTTACAACCGGACACAGATAGGAAGATCTCTGTTGAGTTGGCAACAGCACCTAGAAATGTAACCGGTAAACCGAAGTATAAATCCATGAAATAAGCCGATACTTATACTTATTCACAGTGACACAGTATGGTAATTTTGGTATGAACAGAGTTTACTCCGAACATACCTGGACAAGGAAGAAAAATTCAATGGTATCACTTATATAAGATACCTTTCATCCAACCCAGTACACTTCTCACTTATTAGACACACTCATAAGAGAACAACATACGACAGAACCATTCTAGGCATACGGGCGGGCAAGTTCCGTATACCCCTAGATTCATCCTGTATCATATACAATTAACACCAACTCATTTCCAACGCTTAGTCCCACAGTAACACCTCTGTGGGGTATCTATTGTCAATCGGCAACAGCATCGAACTTATCCATAAATCCAGCAGTTTTTTAACCACAACTTACTCTTCCAGCGAATTTGGCTTTAAACCACAGCAACTACGTGGATCTCGAAGGAACCTCAACCAACTTGCCAGACAGGACAAGTCCAGCGGGCAACTAACTGGCCACGCGTAGTACCACATTATGTGGTTCTCTGGTAAAACCCCATGTCAAATCATTCCAAGGACTAGCCGAGGAGTGAAATGACATCACCAGTTTATAATCCCGGCAGACTAGAGGTACTGGTAGCACCTCTTTACCCTGGGATTGCAATGCACCAAGATAAGGGTCTTTCATCAAAGAAACATGCCCCGGGGTTGTACATGGTATTGTGAGTTCATTAAAGATAATAAGTGCTGGACAGAATTTGGAGTTAAGCCTTTTGTTTCGACCATCATAATAATCAAATATTTGGATAAGTTGTCTAAATAAGATGGAGCCTGTGATGATTTTGACCTTAGGCTGATATTTATGAATAAAATAACATCGACCCTAGTACTATACTCTGGTAGATATATATGTATGCTTTCCTAAATATGTACATCTAGGTCCAATTCCAGAAATATAGAAGTAAATCACGTAAGTGAAGAAAATCTAAGTATCTCTTCTGGACCCAAAATCACCACACGACCCTTTATTAAAGGTTTATGTGGAACTCTGATAAATAGCGAGTCAATCGTGCGAACAACCCCATGATCGAGCCCAACTTAGCTATCAACTATCCATATCAACTGTGCTCAAGTTCTTGAAAGACATTTTAGTAAATTTATCGCTATGACATGTGCTACATGGAATGGTTTAAGCCGATGAGCCCGAAGAGGCAAAAACTCGGAAAAAAACTGAGGTAAAGGCGTTCTTGGCATTGGAATAAAGGGGATCTATATAAACGTCAAAATTACTCTAAATATGACGCCTTTATGTTATAGGCAACTTTGAGGCCGCAACTATTTAAAATTGATGATTTCCTAAACAAGTGTTTAGTTAAAAAACTGTTTACATCTTCTTAAAAGGCAAAACCTCATGCAATAATAATGAAGGAAACTGAATACAAATTTTATTTGTTTTTTTATGAAACCTCTAAACAACATTTAAATAAATGTCATTCAATTTAAATGATACCCAAAAGACCCTTGTAGGAAATAAAAATATATAGGAAATGTTATAACAACGGTAGCAATTTCTTACTTCACTAGTTAGTTTTCATGTAATTAAAAATATTCTCACAATTCATACACTTAATAATGAAATTTAATCAGGCATAATAATGACAATGTAAATTACAGTGAATGCAACAACTACAACAATATTTTAACATTACCACAACCAAACTAACCGCAAATACTTGAGTGAACTGAAATAAAAGAGAACATTTTAAAAATAAAACCTTAAAACACATTCCTTCGACAAAAGTCAAAGAACACATTAAAAATCAAGAATTCCCAAATGGTCTTATACCCGACATATATTTATACTCACACACATGTAAACATTTCCTAAGCTCACTTATACGGAGGTTATGTGTTAAAGTGTGTGTATGGTAATTAAATGCATATGTAAAAACCCGGCAGGTCATGCGGATACTAGTATAAATAAACCAATACAAGAAAAATTACTCAGTACTCTACTTTTGATGTCTCAAGGGGACTTAATGTAAAATAGGGAAGAGTAGAAACTTTACAATTATAACTCCTCAAACTGCCGGGCATACAAAACAAACAAATAGTTTTGTTTGTGCAAGTAAAGGTTGTGAATCAAAAGCCACAACAAGTGCCACCAGATTTTTTAAACGTGACAAATGACAATTTGAAAAGAAGAAAGTTCGAATTAAAACGACAAAAAAAGAATTCACGAATATATAAAACTTAGAAATGTTTTACAAAACATCAAATAAAAGTAGAAGCAAAAAAACAACGACAACAGCAGTGTTGTGGAACATTAGTTCTTTTATTATGGCACATTTTCAATATTTATTAGATTTCATTGCTGAAAGAACAATAAAAAAGCGTACGAAATAGAAACCAACTAGCAAACGGAAGTATAAATTGGTTTATATTGACTTCATTAAAATTAGATTGAATTGTTTCAGGTTTCTAAGCTTACAAACCGCACCTTTGCAAAAGGATTGAATAAAGTTCTTAATAGTAGAGAAGCATTGATTTTTCTGTTTTATACTTTAAGAGAAGGATAATCATAAATCTGAATTTATATTCGTATATAATAAGAACTTTATGCGTATGGAAGACACAACACTAAATGAAATTGTGGAAATATACTATAATGGTTTTTCCTACAAAGCTCTAAATGAAATAAAATGTATCTAAATGACAAAACTGTTATTATTCTAGAATTAAATAGAAGAGAACTGTTCCATAAGTAGAACTGAACTAGAATTGAACTAGAACTGAACAAGAACCGAACTAGAACTGAACTAGAACTGAACTAGAACTGAACTAGAACTGAACTAAACTAGAACTGAACTAGAACTGAACTAGAACTGAACTAGAACTGAACTAGAACTGAACTAGAACTGAACTAGAACTGAACTAGAACTGAACCAGAACTGAACTAGAACTGAACTAGAACTGAACTAGAACTGA